CGATTTTTTTTGATACCACTGACAAAGTCTCTCTCCTTGCCGACATGAACAACATCTCGTATGCGGTTTAGGAAGTAAAGGCTAGATACTCAATAACGATTTTCTTTCACGGAATTGGTCTCCAACCGAGATTCAAGGCTCCGCCACACATTAATATGAAACTACTATCTCGCCATGTCGACAAAATCTCGCATGTGGCAAAGGAAACTACTCGACCAACCCCACACATCGAGGGTTGTTGATTAGGGAATTCACACAACGACTCGAAAGATCAACATACACTTAGACAAAAAAAAAATCTGGTTCAAAGACCTCTAAAAGGACAAGTTTGGACTGGGTTTAATGTACTGTCACCCGAGAGGTGAGACACACACTGGCGCTGCATATGCGGGGCGCTGGGACACGTGCATGTACCTACTCGGATACCAACTACAAGGTTAAGGTTTGGCCGTATACACTGACCTGGGGAGTTTGGCGTTCGGTGATGGCGGCGGCAGCTCTCGTGCGAGTCAACGATCGGCCACTGCAGTTGGCCTCACGTCTCTCAGCACGAGCGTGCGGGCTCGGCCACCACTTCACGTGGATACACCCAGTCAAGCTCGGCACTCGGTTCGAGGCGCATTCCAGAAATTTTAATTTCCGTTTTTCACAATTCCTAAGTACTCTGATAGGACAAAGGGTTTGACAACAATATTTTTTTTTTTTTTTCGAATTTGAAAGTTTCAAGGTCTCAAAATAACAGGGCTTAAAACTGAGTTTCACGTCCACCACCTTATTCGAACAACACACTCCAACCCGCAAAAATACCCAACCCTAGAGATAGGCAAAAATCCTCAAAGGATACTCTAGTGCTGCTCTCTAGTCGAGGAGTCTTGGAGAACTGAGTTGTAATTAATTTGCTAGTGTGATCTACCTTGTCAGATTGATTGCGTTTTTCTCGGTCATTATACACATATTCACAGTTTGCAAATAACCATCTCCTATTGTTAATCATGCACACCGACAATAGTGAAATAAGTAAGTACCCGAATAATTCATTGTGATATTATTATTACCGACATTTCACATCTTCTTTCGGCTGCCACTAATACACTTTGGTTGCGTATTCAGCCACTCGGCATATTTTTATACTAAATTTACAACCGAGATCTTATCTCATACTCATTTTGCTCATTGACACACAAATTGAAGCCGTATCTCAGACGCGTCATTGTTCTATAAGCAGACGCGGTAGATCCTTCAATCTTCAGCAATGGTCCGAATAACAAATGGATCTAGCACTTTCAAATATTCGCAACTTTTACTCCTTTCTTCCACTTAATATCATAAAGAAAATTTATATGTCTCGCGTGGAAAGATTGAGAATGCTAATGTTCCATAAAATTCCAAACGATATACGATGGCTGATTGAAACAAAAGTTCGAGTATCTGGCGAGTTTCCCAATGCATACAAATATATGACAGGTATGGGTAGAAGTACTTTTTCCAAGAAACGAAGAGCTAAAAGAATAGGCGGCTGCTATAAATGTGCTCGTTGGAATTGTGACACACGATGTACGTCTTTAGGATTTGTGTCCAATAATCGAGAAGATAAAATAGCTTTTATAAAAGATGGTTTGAGTAAAGAATCTTTAGATCAAACAATTCAGCAGATTCTTGAGACACATCCAAGTGGTTACGTGCATCGAGAGCTAATGTCTTTATGGACTCAATTCAAAAATAAAGAAGAACGCTATAGTCTCGAAAATATATTATCAAGAGATCCGGCATTTAAGCACTGTTCTTGTTAGTACAATTTAATAAAATGTATTGTATAGAAAATCTTATCGTTGCTGACAAATAAGATTCATTTGTCGACAACTTTTTCCCTTTTAAAAGGCGAGTCCTTCTTCATAGCCAAGTGTCTCGCAAAATAAATGGCTACATCAGAGTCTTCTCATAGTAGCAAACTTCTTCAACCAATCAAAACCGTATGTGTTCTTGGTGGTTCTAAATTCGCCAATTTTTCTCATAATCTCAATATTGTAAGTCAACTGATGAGAGAGTTAGGGAAACAAAAGATCAACTTACTGTATGGAGGAACTAGCTTCATCTTCCTTGATAACCTTTTAATGGCTGCAAAATGTTTTGGTATAGAGGTGA